AAGGAAGCTTTGGGCAAATGTTAAAGGAGTCCTTGCTTTCCCTTGCCTGAAGGCAAGTTGAGACTAGCCTGAGTAAGTGGAATGAGAGGGCGAAGGTTGGGCGGGGAGACCTGTCCTGTGAGAGCCTGCAGTTCTGTTCCTAGGCACAGCTTTTAGGATTCATGTGACTGGACGCATTACAATATAGGTTTAAAGGTAGATAACAAGAAGCTGGGTGTGGTGGAACACACCTGTGATCCCAGCACTCAGGAGGCTGAGGCAGGAGGATTGCTGCAAATTCAAGGTGTGCCTGGGCTACATAGTCAGTTCATGGCCAACCTGAACTACACAGTGGGATCCTGTCTCAAAAATCCAAAAAGAGTGGATAACAAGCCATGTGTAGCTGACATCCCAGCTACTCAGATGGCTGATGCAAGAGAATCACAAGTTTGAACCGCCTTGGGCACCTCAGTGAGACCTTGACTCAACATAAAATCTTTTGCCAGGCGTGGTGGCACACGCCTGTAATCTCAGCACTCGGGAGGCTGAGGCAGGAGGATTGATGCGAGTTTGAGGTGTGCCTGGGCTACATAGTCAGTTCATGGCCAACCTGAACTACACAGTGGGATCCTGTCTCAAAAATCCAAAAAGAGTGGATAACAAGCCATGTGTAGCTGACATCCCAGCTACTCAGATGGCTGATGCAAGAGAATCACAAGTTTGAACCGCCTTGGGCACCTCAGTGAGACCTTGACTCAACATAAAATCTTTTGCCAGGCGTGGTGGCACACGCCTGTAATCTCAGCACTCGGGAGGCTGAGGCAGGAGGATCGGATTACAGGTGTGCACCATCAAGTTCTGCTTTAACATAAAATCTTTAAAAGAACAGGGATGTAGCTCAGTGCTGGAGCGCTTGCCTAGCATGCAAATGGTCCTGGGTTCAAGCCCTAGTACCCCCTCAAGCAAAATTACAATGACATAAAACAGTGGTTCTTAACTTTGGTGGGGGAGATTTTAAAATATCCAATGCCTGGGCCACACCCCAGACCAATTATAGGCAGTCAGACAGGGCTAGGCCTGCGAGGGTGTCAGTGCAGAGGATGAGTTCTCAGTACAACTCGGCTGAAAGCACATCTGTCAAAGGCCAGGCCTCGAGATAAAGACAGAATAACCAGGCCTACATACCTCCCTGAGGGATAAACAATAAATTGAAGATTACAGTATAATTGGTATCAACTGGTCTAATAAAGTCTAGATAGACATCAGTCACACAAGTGGGTAACCAGGACCTCCTGATCCATCCTTCCGAAAGAGGTTTTTGTTCTTTCCACCTAATTGTTGCTACGTGACTTGCTTCCCCATTCGATCAGTATTACCTAAGCATCTATTCTTGTAATCTTATTGGCTGATCATAGTTTTGACCGACGTTGTACCCACCTCATGATTTTATACCCACCTGGTGATTTTGCTCTATAAAACTTTCTTTAAGTGGGTTCATTGATGGCTCTCAGGAGCTGTCTCTCAATAAAATTTTCCTGCTCTTAACCTCCATTGTGCCTTCGAATTCATTCTAGATTTTAGGGGAACACAAACTTGGTGTAAGCTAGGCCTGGTGGTGCACGCCTGTAATCCCAGCATTCAGGAGGCTGAGGCAGGAGGATCGTTTCAAGTTCGAGGCCAGCCTGGGCTACGAAGTGAGCTCAAGGCCAGCCTGAAGTGCACAGCGAGACCCTGTCTCAAAAAGAAAAAAACAAAAACAAAAAATCTTGGTGTATCTGACATCTAGAGGCTGGGCATTCCATTATTTCCCCTATATCAATTTAGAGCTTGGCTGGGTTATCAGATCATCTGTAAAGGCTCACATTCAAGTAACCCTTATTACCAGGCACACACCGGCAATCCTAGCACTTAGGAAGCTGAGGCAGGAGGATCACCATGAATTCAAGGCCAGCCTGAACTACACAGTGAGACAGTCTCAAAAAACAAACAAATAGGAGGCTAGGGATTTAGCTCAGTGGCACAGCGTCTGCCTGGCAAGTGCGAGGCTGTGAGTTCAATTCCTGGTACCGGAAGAAAAAACAAACAGACAAATAACACTCACCTACTAGTGACTGCGTGCAGCAGAGTAGTGGTGCTGGCAGCGTGGCTGTGACAGAAGGGTGATTTACATCCCTGGCAGGGCATAGAGATTTCATCAGAACGGCACAACATATAAAATGTATGAATCATTTATTTCTGAAACTTTCCATGTAATATTTTTAGGCCGTGTTGACTTCAGGTAACTTTAACCAAGGAAAGCAAAACCCCAGATAAGGGGGGAGCTGCCTACACCCCAAATCCATCACTCTACCTCTCATCGCCTACCGCTCAGGCCAAGCCACTCGCTCCTGTTGCCCGGATTGTGGCGCTCGAGACCTTGCTTCTCTTCCCCCTTGTCTTTCTCAGTCCAGAGGCCAAAGTGATTCTGCTGGAATGGAAATCAGAGTTTGTCCCCTCTTTCCTCTGCTCGTTACTTTTACTGGTTCCATCTCTCCTGAAATAAGAGTCAAAGCTGAGCTGGACGTGGTGGCGGAGTTCTGTCATCCTGGCCGTGTGGGAGGCTGAGGCAGGAGAATGGCAAATTTAACCTCAGCAATTTAGCGAGACCCTGTCTCCAATTTTTAAAAGGGTGAGGCATGCTGGGGAATACAGTTCAGTCGGGCGGTGGTATCAAAGCCTGTATGATGCCTCACTTGTCTGTAGAAAATCTGGGGGATCCCTGTAACCCTGGAACCTCCTCCTGCCTTCCAGGTCCCTCCCAGGGATCTTTGCATGTCCTGCGCTTTGGTCCCAGTCTTCTGCGGGAGAAGATCTCCCTGCTTGGTCTATGGCACCTGCTCAGCGAGTCCTGCTCAGGGTAACTTTCAAACCTGTGTCCGTGGCCATGACAGCGTTCTGGTCTCCCCTTTCTGCTCTGTTTTTCTTCATTTCGCTTACTCTCTTCCAACACACCATGTTTGCTTTGGTTAGTTGTCATTTTCCCCAAATGGAAGGGAATATTCTTGTTTTATTATTTTTATTTTTGCTATATTCTCAACACATAGAATTTGCCTGAGTAAATGACTGACTTAAAAGTCATACATTCCTTGTGCTGTAGGTTTATTTTTTTTCATTGCTGTATAAGGACCCGGTGCTCAGTGCAAACCCCTTGTTCTATTTTGTTTGTTTGTTTTTGTTTTTTTTCCGGTACCAGGAATCGAACTCACGACCTTGCACTTGCCAGGCAGGCGCTGTGCCACTGAGCCAAATCCCCAGCCCAGAACCTCTTGTTCTATCTAGAAGGGGTCACACTACAACAGAAGCCTGGAGTCTTGTCACTGGTCCGCTCTGTGAAATGGGTGTGAGATTCCTCCACCAAGGACAAGAAGAATGCAGGCAGATAACATGGCGGCTGTGCTTTGTAAACGCTCAGGGTATCCTCATGCGAAGATGCTCAGCAGTGCCTCCCAGACTCCAGCCCAGCCCCAGCCTGAGCCCGCTCATGGAGGTCTCTCCCAGGCCAAGGAATGAGGAAGAGCGGCCATGGGGCAACGTAATAATGGGAGTGGGGAAACTGGGCAGCCAGGCCGCCACAGAAAGGAGGCAGATGGTTCTGCTTTATATTAATAATCAGAAGGAGGCCGGGCGTGATGTCGCATACCTATAATCCCAGCACTGGGGAGGCTGAGGCAGGAGAATCCTTGAAAATTCGAGACCAGCCTGAGAACATTTTATTAACTTTCAGAGTTTTAAAAAATGCATTCATGTATATTCTTATTTGTAGCTTATGTGACTGAAATGAATGTACAATAATTATCTCCTCCCCCATTTTTTGTGTTTCTGGAGGTTGAACCCAAGGCCTTTGTTCTCAGCTAGATCTGCAGCCTTTTTTATCTTGAGACAGAATCTCACAAAACTGCTAAATTGCTCAGGCTGGGCTCAAGTTTTTTGTGTGTGTCAGGAATCGAACTCAGGACTTTGTACTTGCCAGGCTATATCCCCAGCCTGTGCTCAATTTTATGGGTCCTCCTGCCTCAGCCTTCCAGCATGCTGGGATTATAAACCTGCTCCAACAGGCCCAGCATTTATTCTCATTTTACACTTCAGAAAACTGAATCAAAGTGAGTTTGTTTGTGGGTGACAGGGTCTCACTTTGTTGTTCAGGCTGGCCTGGAGCTCAGGGCAATCCTTCTCCCTCAGCCTGCTGAGTGCTGGGATTACAGGCGTGCGCCACCCCATGTGAGATTTTATGGAGGAAAGAAACTAAACTTCAAATCTCAGCTCAGGCCGGGCATGGTGGTACACGCCTGTAATCCCAGCACTCAGAAGACTGAGGTAGGAGGATCATTGTGAGTTTGAGACCAGCCTGGGCTACAAAGTGAGCTGAAGGCCAGCCTGAACTGCATAGCAAGAACCTGTCTCAAAAAGACCAAAAAAAAAAAAAAAAAAAAATCCCAGCTCAGCTACCACCTGTGTGACATTTGACCAAACTCCCTTGAGCCCTTGGTTTTCCCAGCTACAAAATGCGGTTGATGATTCTAGGAACTCAGTGGTAAGGGTAGGGACTTAGTAAGATAACGTGTGTGTAGGGCCTGGCACGGGGGCATGTCTGGCTAGGACCGTCCCGGTGGAGACGACAGGGATGGGCTTGGAAGGTGGGGTACGTGCTTCATACCAAGGGTCTGACCCAGCGGGGACTCAGGGATGCCGTCTGAGTCACTTTCTCATCCCTGGGACAAAATTCCAGACAGCCACAAGGTAAAGGAGCCAGCCCATGGCTCAGTCCAAGGCGAAACAGCATGACTGAAGAGGCTGGCGTAGAAGAGGTGCTCACACCATGGTGGGACCCCGGAAGCAGAGCGAGCGGGAGTGGAGGGAGACACATCCTTCCAGGTCATACCCCCAGCGACCCCATCTCCAGCAGCAAGTCAGCTGGAGCGCCCCTGGTCCGCTCACCTTCCCTCCCGCCCTCCACAGTGAGGCTGCAGATGCCGGGCAGGTCCTAAATGACTGCACCCCAGGGCTGCTGGGGCATCTTTCTGGTTTAATTTTTAATTCCCCTCCAGTCCTCCAGAACTGAGCAGTGGCCCAGGACAACCCTGAGCTCTTGGAACAGCCCACGGCATGAGTCATCCCTCTTCCTACTGGTAAAACGGCATCAAGGGTCCCCAGCGATACAAGATGGGGACCTTGGTACTGTGGTGCGGAGGGCAGGCACAGCCAGGCAGGAGAAGGTAGCCCTGGGCCTCGTGGGCAGCGGGCTGGTGCCCGGGCTCCAGCAGGCAGGGGAAGTGGGTGCTCTGCTGAACCAGGTTAGGGGGGCCCCGGGCCAGGTGCAGGGACAGGGAGGCGGGGTACACCGAGGGGCAGGTGCTGCTAAACAGGCGCGCATCCTCCATGCTGGCCGCACCGTCCTGTGGCGGGAAGAAGCCAGGGAGTCCCAGGTCCCTGGCGGTCATGTGGGGTCTTTTGAAGGCAGGGTACCCATCCGCCAGCTTGGGGTTGGGGTCAGGGGCCAGCCTGTAGAACTCTTCCTTCCGGAGTTGGGTGTTGAGCTTCACCTGCTGTGGAAACAGAGCCTACATGAATGGAGTGCAGAGAAAGGTGAACGGTGAGGCAGCTGCTTCCCTCAGAAGTATGTGAGGGAGAACAGTTTTGTTTTACAAAATTATCAGGGCTGGGATGTAACTCAGTGGTAGGACCCTTGTCTAGCTTGTGCAAGGCCCTGGGTTCAGTCCCCAGCACTGCAAAAATAAACACTTTAAATCATTTTTGAATGTTAATATGCACAACAGAGGGAAATGCTGAAGGAATACAAAAGCATTTACAGTGAAAAGTGAATCTATTCGATTTTCTTTCTCCCTTGGTTTCCATCTTCAGAGGAAACTGCTATTATGTGTTTAAAATTTTTCTATAAGTTTATAGAAATATAAATATTTGTATAAATATTTTATATACCTATTATCATAGTCAGGGCTTATAAGGGAAGAGATTTAATACAGGACACATAATTTATAGGATTATTTTATAATATTCGCCCAAAGAGTCAAATGCAAAGAGTGTGGGAAATCTGTCCACACACTAGAGACCCAAAGAATCCAGCTGAGCACCTGGATCCCACAGCAATGTCCTGCATGAGTCCAGGTGAAGACCTAGAGCCCATGGCAATGTCCTCTATGATTCCAACTAGAGGCCTAAAGCCCAGGACAATGTCTCATGCAAATCTGTACCAAGGATCTGCGCTGGGAAGGCCCAAAGGTCAGCGGCGGAAGCTAGAAAGTCTGCACCAGCAGGATGAAGGATCTGTGCCAGCAGGCTGCAGGATCTGCACTGGAGCCAGGAAGCGACCCTCAAGGTAATGACCAGAGATCCCCTGAAGAGAACCACAGCCCTCCTCAGTGACAGCAAGGACCTGAGCACTTTGGCTGATGAGAACAGCTGAGTCCATATCAGGAGAGCTAGCATGGCAAGCTTTTCCAGAGAATCAATAGCATACCGTCTTCCCCTCCAGTTCTCCTTTTATGTTGCTGGTAACAATCCACAGGTGGTGGGCTGGAAATATAGCTCGGCGGCACAAGTGCCTGCCTGGCAAGTGCAAAGTCCTGAGTTCGATTCCCAGTACAAAAAAAAAAAAAAAAAATCCACAGGTGGGCCCTCCACACCCAGCACCACAGTGATTCGGTTCAGCTGAGTGTCACAAGTTGCCCATTAGTTAATCCACCACACCTATAAACATATTGTGTGTCTCTCCCTCACCTGGTTTATACACAGAATATTCATATTATTTTCCATTCTTTGTTCCACTTCCATTAAATAACAGATCTCAAAAGTGGTTCCACCTTTGTGTAGATCAGGTTTTAGGTGGGACTACCTCAGGATAGGAAAGGTTTTCTTCTATTCAAAGAAGAAAAGCCGAATGTGGTGGTACACGTCTGGAATCATAGCACTTGAGAGGCTGAGGTAGGAGGATCTTGAGTTCAAAGGACAGTGTGAGGTACATAGTGAGTTCAAGGCCAGCCTGAACTACAGTGAGGGGTTGGGGATTTAGCTCAGTGGTAGAACGCTTGCCTAGCAAGCTGGAAGCCCTGGGTTCGGTCCTCAGCACCAAAAACAAAAAATAAAACCCATCTGAAAACAGCGAAATTCAAATAAAAAACATAAAATAGAAAAAAGACCAAAAAAAAAAAAAACAAGGCAACTGAACTACAGTGAGACCTTGTCAAAAAAAAAAAAAGAAAAAAAAGAGGCAGGAGAAGAAGAGGAACAGGGGCCAAGGATATAGCTCAGCAGTGCAGCATTTGCCTGGCAAGTGTGAGGTTCTGAGTTCAATGCCTGATACAAAAAAAAGAAGAGGAACAGGAGGAAGGGGAAGAGGAGGAGGAGGGAAAAGAGGAAGGAGAAGAATAATAAATGGTAAAGGAAGAGACTGCTAAATCTGATTATATGGTTTGTTTGTTGTTGCTTTTTTAGAATTTATATAACTGATTGATTATATGTTTTTTGAGACAGGGTCTTGCTATAGAGTCCAGGCTGGCCTTGAACTCACTATGTTCCCCAGACTGGCTTCAAATTTGCAGTGATCATCCTGCCTTAGCCTCGGATTACAGGCATGTGCCACCAAGCCCAGCTTGAAAAAATATATATATTATATACTATAAGTAGTATGTAAAATATGCATTATTTATTAAAATATACAATGTATAGTATTTATAATATTTGTTATAATATATTTATGTTATATATTTACATAATATAATTATTATACAT